ATTTTTGATTATCACGAATATCTTTCAAAGTTTTGTCCAGTTCCTGTAATGAGCTCTTGGGGGCTTCAATGTTCACAGCTTCTATCAAAGTATCGTATGCAATCCTTTGTTGTTGATTTAATTGTAGAAAATGTTTATGAACTATTTCTACAAATCCTTCAGTGTTGAAATGTTGTTCTTTTTGTAACTGTTGTTGTCTTTCGTAAAGAAAATGAATAACATTTATTGACTGTCAAATAACTATGTACTTTGATAATATAAAAGGCAAATATCGAGCACAGTATTAATTTAATCTTGCCCAAGTACTTTCGATCCCTAGATCATCTTCAGGGGCATTTCGTCAATTGCGGCCTATCCGACAAGAGTAAAATGTCATAGACATAAAATGCAACATTACAATACACTACACAAGGACAAACAAACACTTTAAAATTTTTGAAAATAGGCAAAGCTACATTGTGTAAAGAAGCCGGAGACAGAATTCTGTCTCCGGCTTCTTTACGCAATGTAGCTTCGCCTATTTTCGAAAAAAAAAGAATCGAATAAACTCGAATCATATCGAAACTAATGAAATGGAATCTAATCGAATGGAATCGAATTGAATGGTATTGAATGGAATCGAAAAGATTGTTCGAATGGAATCAAAATGAATCGATTGTAATCGAATGAAATCGAAGGGAATTGAATGGAGTCGAATGGCATCGAATTAAATGAAATCGAATGGAATCGAATTGAATGGGATTGAATGGAATCGAATCAAATGAAATCGAATGGAATCGAATGTAATCGAATCGATTTAATTCAAATGTTCCAAAATAAGTTTTAACTGAGGTTATAGAGTTTTTATATCTGCTATTTACGAGTATAAAGCCTATCTGGTTTCTGACAATGTGGTTTTTCTGTATGTGAAGGAGACGTCTCTATATATATATATATATATATATATAATATATAATATATATAATATATATATATTATATATATATATAGTCTTCTCTTAGGAAGCGAAAACAAAGTATTGGCAATTCTTTTTCTTTGGGTGCCGTGTCCGTATTCAGACGTTGGCCGTCATCATGTTTACAATTTCCTGAAACCTTTCTCTGTCGGCTGCTGCGCGAAATAATTCTTCTACTGTGAAACCACACCATTGTCTAATTGGCAATTACCATATTCTTTTCTTGGCAGAATTCTATGGGCCTTTCTCCTCTTTCGTTTCTAGTTCTTAGTCCGAACTGTCCAACTATATTTTCAACTATATCTACTCCAATGTTTGCATTAAAGTCTCCTAAAATGTAAGTAATATCTCTAGATTTTGTTAACCTGATTGTATTGTGCAATTCTGAATAAAACTTTTCGATCTCATCTTCGGTCTTATCAGCTGTGGGAGCATAGACTTGGATCATAATAATATTACAGTTCCGATTTAATGGGTTTCCGATTATTTCAATTACAAAAAGACTAACAGTGTTATATTATTGCCATTAGTTGACCATCATTACTACTTTTCATATATAGATGTAGGAGCAAAAGGAACAACTTCATATGGCGGTGTTTGGGAAAATAGTTCTTTGCTTCGTGCTATTGAGAATCATAGTCTTAATATTCCGTCAAATGGATTAGTAGTTGGCGATGATGCGTTTCCATTAAAGACTTTTCTTTTGAAGCTATACAGCAGAAGAAAATGTCTTTAATTACAGATTGTCTAGGGCACGGCGAATTTCCGAAAATGCGTTTGGAATTTTAGTCAGAAAATTTCGCATCTTTGAGAAACCAATTGCGTTAAGTCCTGAAAAAGTTGACAAAGTCATATTGGCATGCTGCGCCTTACATAAATGGTTGCGTAACAGAGGCACTGCCTATGTACCATTTGGTCTTATCGATTTTAAAAACCTGGACCATCAAAGAAAACTGGGAACCTGCGGAAATGTTAAAAGTGACGAAATTTTATATATCTCACATATAACAGGTGATAAAAATCCCACCGGAGTTGCATCAAAAAAACGAGATGACTGATGTAAGTATTTTAATGACAAAGGCACTGTACTCTGGTAGTGGGGCGAATGATACAACAATAATAATAGACAATATTTGATACATATAATTACAATCCGATTCTAATAAAAACTACTTACCAAATTTGAATAAGCTTTCCTTGATTTTACGTGTGGCATTAGAAATCTGTGCATTATCGGACACCAAATCACTTTTGGCACATAAATATCGTCAGTAGAACAGCCGGACTTGGTGCTGTTTTTAATTTTCTTCAATTCTTGCAAAAACGAACTACGTAAGTTTTTAGATTTCTCTAGTACATATTTCGCTGTTAAATTTTCAATTTTTAGCAGAGCAACAATGTTTTCTAAGTGTGCGCTCATAACGAGGCGCCGACCCTCGCTCGGACCATTGGATGGTATCGTATTATCGTCGTCAGGTAAAATAACTGCATTATTTTAAAAATCCCAGCGTATACTGTCAAAACGCAGCACCCAGCCAAGAGCCATGTATCGGACCATGGGCCATTATATTCGAGCTTAGTATTTTTTCGACCCTTGACCCTAGTACTCTACGATTGACACTACTATAGTCTTTTTCTATCATATTGATCGCACATTATGTATGCAAATCCTCAACAGGTCAAAAAACCCTAGGCGTCACCCTATACTTGTTTTGAAATCAATTAAAAAATTAATATTTTAAGATGCCGTCAACAATTCATTATCTTTTAAAAAATCTTCTGTAAAATAAGTGTTTCCTAATCTCACTATACCTTTTTTCGTATAGTGCGTAAAAAACGTCGGTATATATGCCACACGATTATTGTTAATTATACACGGGTGATTAACGAGAGAATTCAATGTTTCACGAAATAAATTAATGTAAACAGTAATTTAACGGGATTATTGTTTTCTATACAAGTTATCGCCTGACACAAAAAGAATACCTTCTTTGAACGATTACCTGGAATTACTGATAAGGCTTCACTAATGATAGTTTAAGTAGTTGTTATGCCACATTACAGCTTATGCCAATAATATAAATTAGAAATTGTTTGCATCTTCCATTTAGTTTATAGATGTACATTGTTCATGTCTTACCTACTTACGTTTTTGGTGTCGATATTTTGTTATTTGTATTTAAAAATGACGTCAACAACAGGTTTTATCCCGGTTAAGTGTAGTTTTAAAGGTGCCTTTATTTAGTCTAAGAGAGAAAAATATAATATTAAATGTACACGATGCACTTATACATCGACGCCCTTTAAGTAATGTTCGTGAAATCGTTAACATGTGTTCAAATATGACAGGGGTTGGAGAAGCAACAATTTATAGATTCCTAAACGAAAGAAAAGGAGGAAGTGTTTCATCTCCCTAGAAGAGTGGAGGGAGTAAACCCTTGGAAATTCAAGAAATACATAAAAACATGATAAGACGCAGCGTCCACTCATTTTTTTTTAACAAAGAATTTCCAACATTGGACAAAATCCAAACATTAATAAGAGAAAACGAAGAGTTACCAATCATAAGCAATAAGAAATTATGGGGACTATTGAGAGAGATGGGATTTCGTTGGCAAAAGAATAGAAGGAAATCCGTTTTAATTGAAAAAGATTACATTGTATCTTGGAGACGAGATTATCTAAGAACTATTAAAAAGTACCGAGAAGAAGGGAAAACAATTTTTTATTTGGACGAGACTTGGCTAAATGAAGGTCATACTGTACCGTATCTATGTGTTGTTACAAATGTGAAAAGTTCCCATCAGGCATTCATCGAAGATGTATCTACTGGATTTAGCAATATTCCCGTTGGAAAAGGACGCAGACTCATAATAACCCATATTGGAAACGAATACGGTTTTGTCAATGGTGGATTATTAAGTTTTGCCTTAAAATCAACCAAAGATTACCACGAGGAAATGACTGATGACGTTTTTGAAGAATATTTTGAGCAAATGTTGGATTTAATTCCAAAAAATTCTGTCATAGTCATGGATAATGCTTACCATTCAAGACTAGCCGAAAAATTGCCAACAACGGCATGGAAAAAAGAAGAGATAATCGAATGGTTGGATAAACACGTAATTTAGTACAAGGAGAATTCGAAAAAAAAAAAGGAATTATTACCTTTTGTAAGACAACATAAAGCAGCTTATAAAAAATATATAATTGATGAAATGGTATTAAACCGTGATGTAATTATTTTACGTTTACCCCCATACCACTGCGATCTGAATCCGATAGAAAATATATGGTCTCAAGTAAAGGCTGAAGTCGGACGCAACAACAAAACTTTTAAATTAGTCTGTCATTTGTGGTTTAGTACTACACGTGTGTTACTGTTGGTTTTATCCACTTTTGTTTTGACCTTTTAAATGAGCTTTAAGTATTCGAGAGAAATGTAATAAGTAGTGTAGTGATAGTATACCTCACCTAGTTGTAATATAACATCAATTCCTGTTGAGATTATTTAGTAATAGCCGTGAGAAATCAAAATTAGAGGTTATGGCATCTCAAAAAAGCAAATTGATTTTCAAACTGTTGGAAGAAGATAATGTAAATACTGGAGACCTCCAAGGTAATAATTGTTTATTTATCTGGACAATAATAATTAAAACAGTAATATCTTTATTTTTTATACGACATACTAGATTAACATCATTTATTTTTGCGTAAAAGTTTTCTAGATGCAACTCAACTATAACTTGGTGAATATGCCTATTGTTTTTGGTCAACTTTTTAACCAGTGGCGTTACTTTAATTTGTATCTCTAAAAATTTTAAAAGTTAATGTATGTAAAAGTTGATGCTTAACTTACATAATCAATTCCAATTTCAGATTTCTTATCATTTATAAAATAATATATTTTCGGTTTTCTCTAGAGGGGACCGAATTTCCATAAAAAGTAAAAACCAATTTTGGCGTGACAATTTCATTTTTCTGGAAAAAAAATTGACAAAATTTATTAGTTTTTCAAAAATTTTATATTAATCTGGGTTTTTAGATGAAAATTCCATGATGGGTAATGCGGGTGGTTTCCTTGAAGAACCTGTCTTAGCAGATGAAGATAATAGATCAAGTCCTGCACCTTCACTGTCCTTCTGTGAACCGAATGTTCGAAAGACTTTGGAAGAAGTTATTGATCAAGTTTGTGGGATTGATGATGACGACAAAGGTTATCTGGAATATCCAGGTAATGAGGAGGGGTTTGATAATAGTGACGCGGACCCAGATTATATACAAGAAAGTGTTATCGACTCCGATAATGACATCCCAAAGAAAAAGCTGCAAACAGATACAACAGCACTTATTGCACATGAGTCAGGAAGAGAAATCTTAAAAAATAAACTTGGACGAAAATCGCTAAAAAATGAAACTAGGCTAATTCGCGAGGAACGAAAGCAGAACAGAAACCTTGGGTTATCGTATACCACGAAAAGTGGGAAGGTTATAAAACCACGGACATGTCAGGAGCTATTAAGTTGCCCCTTAAAATGCAAAGACAGGATAACTGAAGAAAAACGACAGGAAATTTTCAAAGAATATTGGTCTTTAGCGAGCTTTAACAAACGCGTTTCTTTTATAGCTAGGCTTATAACAACCGACGGAAAGAAAACCACAAAACGTAAATTAGAAAACAAAAAACTTAAAAATAGGCTTCTGTCACATAAATATTTTTTACCACTAAATGGTCAACTAGTTAACGTTTGTCAAAGTTGTTTCCTAAAAACTTTTAACGAAACAAAACGGTTTCTAACCGATGTGACAAAAAACAAGATTTCTTCAACTTCTGCAATGCCACATGATGATTTGCGAGGTCTTGCCTCACCATCTAACAAAACTCCCGAACAAGATATTCAATTAGTAAGAGTTCACATTGGATCAATCCCAACGTATGAGAGTCACTATTGTCGTCGTGACTCATCAAAGATATATCTTCCTCATTACTATACCTTAACAAGAATGTATGAAGAATACAAAAAATGGCTACCTCACGAGAAAACCCCAGTATCGAAATTCAAATATCAAGAAGTATTCCATTCCATGGAAATAAAAATCAAACAGCCCAAAAAGGATACCTACGCTACATGCGATAAATATCATATGCTCCTGAAAAAACTAAAGATGCACAAAAAATGCAAGAAATTCAAAATCTTTTTGATAATCACCAACGAGAAGCATCAAACGCTTATGAGGCTAAGCGTATAGATAAAAATGCTGCGTTAGAAAATGAATCAAAAATCATTTATACGTTTGATTTGCAACAGTGTCTCCCCACACCTGATCTTCAGACTTCAATAGCATTCTATAAAAGGCAGTTGTATACCTTTAATTTAACATTACATAGATTTAATGATATATAATCAAGCAATGTGTTTTATGTGGCATGAAAGCGTAGCTGGGCGGGGTGCAAATCAGATTGCGTCATGCTTATACAAGCAGATTTCACATATTTCACCTGAAATAAAAGAGATCACCTTATATTCTGATACGTGTGCAGGACAAAACAAGAACTCTTTTCTACCTGCAATGTTCATGATGGTTTTAAAAGAGAATCCCAATCTATCATACATTAACCACAAATTTCTTGTTCCTGGTCACACCCACATGGAGTGTGATTCAGATCACGCAATTATAGAGAAAAAAAAAGAAAAGATATCCATGTTCCATAGAACACATGGATGAATTTGGTAAGACTATGTGGAAATAAGCGAACTTTTTTAGTTACTGAAATGTGCAGATCGGATTTTCTTGAGTTTTCTTCTTTGTATAAGAATGTCCTTCAACAAAGAAAAATTAACAACTTAGGAGAAAAAGTCATGTGGAAACAAATGAAATGGTTGAGATTTTCACAGAATCCTGGTGTCCTTGAATACAAAAGTAGCTTAAAATGTAGACGAACCATTTAAAAGCGTATGTTTTTTAAGAAAAGATATTACGTGGCCTAAAAACATAAAAATTCCTCTGTCATATAAAGGTCCCAATCCAATAAACATCGATGAAAAAAAAAAAGAACTTGATAGAGCTATTGCCTTATATTTCAGAAACATTTCATGATTTTTATAGAAATTTAACTACGAAGGAGGATATACCAAATACGTTAGCCGTGGATGAAAATAGTAGTGACGAGGACAGTGTACACACAGAAATTGAAATTTTTAAAAATTAAATAAACTTTTACGTTGTATTTGACTATAAATGTACCCCTTTAAGTGAACATAAAACTTTCCAGTTTCACATTTTTTTATTTATAATTAATAATTAGATTTTTTACTATATCTTTTTTGGGGGGAAGGGCTTTTGTTCTTTAATAAATAATTGTGAAAAGTGATATGTCATATATTTTTTTAAATTGTACAACTAGGTCCTTTTTACTAGTAGATCTATTTTAATCCAACAAATTCAAAGCCATTTCCAAAAATTGTTTAACGAAAATATCTTATTTGTATCCGGAACAACAATATTAAATTTGAAAAAACTATAATTGCGTTTTTCTCGAAACTTAAAATTTAGACTTACACCACTTTTCTCCAACACCCGCCAATTGTTTCGGGAAATTTGTAGGCATTCGAATTTTCTGTTGCCTCTGTACAATTTGTAGTGCCAGTCTAACATTTTATAATTTCAAACCAGGATATCTAACATTATTCGTATTTGCATAACAAATTATATCTCTTGCAATGTCAACAGAAGATTCTATTAAAATACTAAATTAAATTTCTTTATTTCAAAGAGTAGAAGTAAGTAACATTGTTATGGACAATTTTTAAACTTGTTTTGAACAGTTTTAGAGACACTGGAGAGTGAGATTATTGTGCCAGGGCCGTAAAATTATAGTAAATTTGACAATATTAATATTATATTACCTAGATGAGACAACTTTCGAGTTTTTTTCTGGTAAATTAGTAATATAAACACAGAGTATTGAGTATATAGTTCACAATCGAGTTTACCTATATTATAATATATTTTAATTTTATTGGGAGCATTCAGTAGATTGACAATGTTTACATGCATCAATTTTAAGTAACTGATATGCTGTACGCTAGGAGCGTTATATTGAAATTTAACTGCATCAACATTATTTCGTCGCCAAAATAAAAAACATGTTGAAATTAATTACGAAAAATTTGTTTTTGAAAATTATAGTAGATTTTAGGATTACTGTAATGGCATGCTACTACGTAGTCAAAAAGATTTTAATCATCATATAAGGCCATCAGAAAGAAAAATTGAAAAAAAACATACATACATTCAATTCTAACAACATGAATACATCTAAATTTAAATATTATGTGATTATTAAACGATATGAAAACCAATATTTATTTACAGTTGAAAGAAGTTTATATACAAGATAATTGTAGAAGCGGAATAATACAAGTATTAAACTTTCACAAAATAAAACAGTAGATTAACCACTACCGGTCGTGACTATATGTATATCAAAAAATTACAAAGCAAGCGATCTACACGGCTTAGAAAACGGTGCAAAAAATCCCTTTATTAATATTCACGGAATTTGAGTATCCGGCAACTTAGGGTACACCTATATTGGAACCGTATTTCTCCCGATCCGATTGGGTCCGATGTAAGCCCATTTTTTGATCCGACGTGATTGTCTATAATCGTTCGTTCAGTTAACGTCCGACCACCGACAATGAGTTCCGATGAACATTTATTAGGTATATTGGTTGTTGTTATAAAACAACCTTTTTAAATGACGTAAAAGAAAACGTACATGGATACATAAATTTAACGAAGACAGATCTCCAGGAGAATTTAATAAAACTTTCCAAACTTCACGTAACTATCCTGATAAATTCAAAGAGCACCACCGCATGATCATAGAAATCTAACTATCCAATCTAACTTCAGAGAATGCATCAGCCCCGAAGAAAAACTTAGGGTACACCTATATTGGAACTATATTTCTCAACCCGATCAATCAAAATTTCTCTGTCCATTTGGCTCTCATCGGAACGAAAAATCGGAATGAAACCAAACAAGTTTGATAGGAGAAGCTACTCAGTCCGACGTCGGCCGATATCGGCCGTTATCTGATCGGGGTTCCAACTGCAGTATAAGGCACTATGCATTAATACCTTGAGTTTGTTTTCAATCCGACGCTGGCTGTCGGCTGGCTGACATCCGTCGCCCGATGTCGAATCGCGAGAAATACGGTTCCAATGTAAGTGTATACCATGATAGAAGGATACAAGATATGATATTGCCACGCGCTAAACTCGTACATCTCGTGCATGACGTCACTGACGTCATGCAACGAGATGCAACTGTGTGAAATTCTAATATAATTTAGTAGATGTTTTATATAAGATGTTATATATAAGATGGAAGGTAACCCTATATCTGACTATTAGTGCAATTAAGTTAAAAAGGGAGCATATTAACTTGGGAAAAGATCACTACATATATAACTACATATAGATCTCTACTATATATAAATATTGAAATGATTTCAATATGTTAAAAAGGATACAACTTAAATGGATTTTTATATGAGCTTGTTGTTCATGAATTTCATGAAGCCATCACAATGTGGGTTCGACTCTGAAATAAAAGAGAGAAAAAGATTAGTAAATTGTTAAATAAATTAATTTTGACTTATCTGGTATATTGTTAATAATTTCTGAATAGTATAGTTGCCTAGTGTATAGGTGAATCGTCTAAACCTTAAAAAGAACAAAAAAGAAGAATTCTTAAAAAATATTTAAACATAGAAATTAAAAAAAAAACGTCAGAAAATAAACTGTCAAGCAAGTTTGTGGGAGCTAAATTAATAGGTGTTTTGTTAAATAAGAAATTACAATAATGTGGAGATGAAAAGAATAAATTGTATTAGCATTGTAATAGAATAAGTTTTATATCTGAACATTTTTTTTTATAAATTCCCAAATTAGATGTGATTAAAGTGATTATGAGAAATTAATGTGGATTGACAAATGTGTCAGAACAGGACAGTTTTATGGTTTAAAAAAAAGAGAAGACGAAAAAGAAAAAGAACGTTGGTTGCTGTTAGCAACGGATAATTGGTTTTTTGGAGAAGGCCGACGAGGATTTTTCGACGAAGGGGAGCCCTGAAACGGTGGAATAGGTCGGGAGTGTTTTTTAACTCGTCTAATTAGAATTTTAGTTTTTCCACAGTTTCCACAGCAGAGATATCCAGAATTTGTTCCAGAGAGTAAGAGAAACAATTTGACTTATAAATTAATATTGGAGTACAGAAATGTCATTTAAATTTAGAAAATTAAAATTCACGAATTAACATAATTGCGATAGGCCTTAAAAATTTAAAATATTAATGATCATTAAATTAAAAATAGAATAGTACGTACCTTAACTTCCGAAGAGAGGATTGATATTCCAGTTTCACCGATTATTTTGCGAGTAGTTAGTTTTCTTTAAAGAAATCAGAACTGTTTTAAAGTGAGGTTGGATAATAATTTTGGGGATCATTTGAAATTTTGATTATATTTGAATGCAAGTTTAAAGTCAGCAGAATAAAGTGTTCAGTTTCTTTTTCTTTATAGTTCATTTAAACACTTTATAAAGTTGCAATATTTATTTAGTTTTTAGGTACTTGTAGAGAGTCTCCACATTTTGTAATAAATTTTTATTGTCACGACACTAAACCACATTAAGATTTACACGATTCCTATTTTTGTAAATTTTTAAAGGCAACCCAAGTTGCAGATGAATTTTATTGTTTATATTAAATTTGTTCAATATTAATAAATAACGTGCTTCATTTGGGTTAATTTATCAAAAATCTAAAGTAAATTTTGGTTTAATTTCTTTTTGAACTCTACCAGGAGACTACAGAGTCGACGTCACACAGTGACAGATTGCTTAGAACACATAATTGAGCTAGCTGAGGTATATATTAAATTAAACAACGAACCACATATTTTAAAATTTACAACATTTATTATAAATAAAAATAAAATTAATAAAATACAACTTTTTTAATATATTATACTTACAGAGTAGAATTATGTAAATTTTTATTTAATTGTCTAATTCGAAAAAACATCTGCATCTAAAAAATTAAGTTTTTGTCTGATTAGAGCACAACACTGAAGAACTCTCATCTAATATATTTTTTAAATATTATTTAGAAACAAATAAATAAATTACTATTTAAATGGGAATAACCCACAATTAAAGATTAAAGTACGTTTATTGAC